ATATATTCATTGTATCTGATTTATCATCACGGGTTTATTACGAATCAACTTAACGGCCTGCTCCCAGTTGGCTTGTTAGCTCAATTGGTAGAGCGCTGCACTAGTATCGCAGAGGTCAGTGGTTCGAATCCCATACAGGCCTGATTTTTTTTTTCAGGTCTGATTTTCGCTATTGCATAAATAGCGCTATCTACTGGGAAGGATCGTGCATCATACGTATTTAATACCGCAGTTCAAAATATATGAACTTCATATATATTCATTGTATCTTTTTTTTTATTGATTCATTCATTCCTTCATTCACTTTTTAATTTATTTCTCATTTTTTTGTAGTATGGATCCAAACCCAATGACTGTTTGAACACTGAAGCGCAAGGTATGAATGAGGACTGCAGAAGAGTCCAGTATGCTTTCTTTGAGTGCAAGAGATCACTGGTGAGAATACTATTTAAGAAATGGTAAACACCACAGCGTACACTATTGAGTTGTGGATGCATGTGGGAGGTTGCTAAGCACTAAAGAAGCGTAAGAGTTGCTCAAGGTGATAGATAGCCAAGAACAACTCTAGCTTCCTGAGTACTCCGCAAACCTCCCAAGAGCATCCATAACTCAATAATGTACACTGTGGCATTTACCATTTGTTTTATAACATAACATTGACATAATTTTTGTAGCAAAAGAGTTTTCTTTTATTTAACAAATCTTAAGATAAAACGAGCGTGTGCGGAAAACTAGTCTTTGCATGTACTCACGTCAGCAGGGCACACCCATGGGCAAACTGTGGATGTTGAATTGGCCAATCTGAGTGCGTCCTTGAATTTGGTTAATTTGACACCTTTTACACCTTTTTTTTTCTTTGTTTCTTGGTTTGTTACTGTTGGCAGGAGATTACATATTGACATGTAGATGTCTGTTCTGGGAAAGGCCACCAATGATGTCAGTGTCATAAATGATAACATGACCTAGTATTACCTGTACATTTTAACAAAGTGTTGGTGTGTGACTATCTACTCAAGGGAATTGTGTCTCAACCCCAGGTCTTATACCCGTCTCCCTGACTCTTGACCACATTGTTCAAAAAAGGGAAAGAGACAGAATTTAACACTGTTGCTTCCAATATCTGAAAGCTGATCCTTCTAACTGTTGACTAGAATTTTGTTTGCTTTTATTTATTACAGATTCACTCCATTAGAATACACAACAAATAATATAAGAATACAATTAAGGTTAATAAAAACCATAAAAGAAAAAACTGTGGAGAAGGGGACAACCAAAAGCACTGACACACCATACAAGGGATGCCCCCTCTAATTAAAGTATAGCAAAACTATATAGAAATATAAAAATAGATGCCCTTACTATCCTTATCCTTACTAAAACTTAAAACATTCTTTTTAAAAGTTTCAATACTATCTTGATTCTCTAATGTGATTAGGTAAACTATTCCATTCACCAACAATACGGTTAAAGAAAACTATATTTAAGACCGTTAGTTCTACTAAAATTTGGTACAAGGTCCTGTGTGTCATTTTTCCTTAAATTATAAGCCATGCTTCTGTCCTTACAAAATATGGGCTGATTGGAAATGTCTATGTTTTAATGGCCATTAATTACATTGAACAAAAACGTAACATCCCTAATGAACCTCCTATCAGATAATAGCAACAATTTGTTAGAACTTTAAGTTGGTTAAAAACAATATTACCATTACAGAGGTGAAGTAATGATTTTTCAGGGGGGGTGAGGGGTCATATGGTGTTACACAAAGGCTACCTACCCCACTGTCAAATCAACATCTATGCAATGTTTTTATTACCAAAACTGACATTTTTCACATCAGTTTTTCTTCTGTTTAGCACTTAGTTACCTCCTGAATTATAAAGTTTGAGTGTCTCAAGGGTTTTTTTTTTAAATAATCTCTTAAAGGGGTTTTATGGTCATCACAGTCTCTCACCCTCACCCCATGGTACACCCCCTTGCAATATGATAATTTTTCTATCTGCCTGTCAAAAAGTTAATGAGAATGTATCAAAGGCGAGATTTAGTTGGACTGACAAACTTCTCACTTTTCATTTGTTGGCAGTTGGACTTTCGCACCCGTTTCAGGGGAAGAAAAGGCTACTAATGGAGGACCATAGGCATGTTGTTTCTACTGGATTGGACAATCAATAAATGCCAATTCACAGAGAATTGAAATCCTCGAAGAATTGTCATTTAAACATCTTGAAAAGTGTTTTTCCTAAAAAAATAATCACATGAGGGAAAAAATATCATAAAAATGGCACTCATTTAGGTAATAAAAATGAAAGTCTTCTGTTGAAGTATATTATGACTGGTGAAATATATTATTACTGGTTTGATACCCTTCATATATTTTTGTTCCACTGTTTTGTTTAAGACTGTACCAGGCTCTTTCGGTCAGAGGAGACAGACAAAATTACAAGTCAATTACACTTGGCAGTTATCAGAAGAAACGGTGGTGGATTTAATTTCCATTCCTTTTTTATACTACCAAATGTAACAATTGTTCCGGGTGTCTCAGATCATGATTGCCCACTTCTTACTTTAGACCTCAAGCCTGTTAGGCATAAACAGTCGCCCCGAAAGATCCCACTTTATAAGAGAGCTAACTGGGACAGTCTGGGTGATGAACTATCCAAGGATATTGACACCATAACAGCCGACTGTGAGAATCCAACAACAAATGAACTCTGGGAGTAACTTAAAGCCTCGATTAACAAGGGAATTGATAGGCATATACCACATAAATATAGCAAGTCAAAAGAAAACCTACCTTGGATTACACCCAAGATTAAGAGGATGATCAAAATAAGGGATAGGCTTCAAATTAAACGCAAGGGTCTTGTTAGGGCCTTGAGAGCTGCTGATCTAAGCAAGATCACAAAGAGGATTAAATGGCTTAAGAAGTATATTCAAAGGGAGATGCGGCAAGCCTACTGGAGCTATGTGGAGTCCATCATAGGGAGCCGTCGGGATTAAAAAGATTCTGGACCTTCATGAAGCACTGCCGTAATGACACTTCAGGGATCAGCTCGTTGAGTGATGAAAAAGGAAATAAAGTATCGGCGCCAGACCAATTAGCTAATATTCTTAACACACAATTCCAGTCTGTATTTTCGATTGAAATTCCTGCACCACAAGATCTGTTGCCACCTATCTCTCCCTTCCCAAGAATGCCTGATATCCTAATATCAAAATCAGGAGTCCTGAAACTACTGCAAGAATTGAAGGTACATAAAGCTGACGGCCCAGATCAGGTAAGACCAAGGGTATTGAAGGAACTCTCACATTATAGCTCCTATTCTGTTACTAATTTACAGAAGATCATATGACACAGCCCAGGTACCAGATGACTGGAAAAAACTTATGTGACCCCAGTTTTCAAGAAAGGGAAAAGGTCAGAGGCTGGAAACTATAGGCCAATATCTTTGACGTGTATTGCCTGCAAGATCATGGAGCATATTCTCGTCAGTAATATAATGAAGCATGCAAATAGGAACAATATCCTGTACCATCTGCAGTATGGTTTTCGAGAAACGAAGAGGTCTCATGAGACGTAGTTGCTGGAATTTGTTCCCGACTTAGCATGTAATATGCAGAGAGGAGGGCAAACAGATGTCTTGATCATGGATTTCTCAAAAGCCTTTGATAAGGAGGCCCACCAACGTTTGATAAGGAAGCTTGACTTCTATGGTGCAAGAAACAAAACAAGGGATTGGATACAGGCTTTCTTAGCAAACCGAACTCAGCAAGTTGTCGTCAAAGGCAAATTTTCAGACTCTGCTCAAGTGCAATCTGGTGTCCCTCAAGGATCTGTATTGGGTCCTTGTCTTTTCTTGTTCTACAGTAATGATTTACCATGTAATCTGACTTCTACAGTTCGCCTGTTTGCAGTGACACCTTGCTTTACCTAGCTGTGGAGTCGCAAAGTGATACTAATTCTCTGCAGAAGGACCTGCATGAACTTGAAAATTGGGAGAGCAAATGGCTTTGGAATTCAACACAAATAAATGTCCTGCGTGTGTGCCCTAAACGGGATCCACTGAACCATACATACATTATTCATGGTGAAGAACTGGAAATGGGTGACTCTTTAAAGTATCTGGGACTAACTATAACTTCGGACCTACGATAGAATCAACATATCTCAAACACTGTAACTAAAGGAAACCAGACTCTAGGCTTCTTGAAAAGAAACCTCAGAATTAACTCTCCAGACCTGAAAGCAATCGCCTACAAGAGCTTAATACGGCCCACTGTGGAATACGTCTCAACTGTTTGGGACCCTTATACCAAACAAAATAGGGATAGAGTAGAAATGGTACATCGTAGGGCAGCACGTTATGTCCTTAACAATTATGATAGGTCTGCTAGTGTCACCGAAATGTTGAAACAACTTGACTGGGATACTTTAGAATTGCGTAAAAAGAAATCGAGGCAGACAATGCTGTATAAGATGCACCACAACTTAATTGCGATTGACCAACAGAAATGTCTCAAACCAGCCGGCCGATACAGCAGACATACGCACAGGCTCTCGTATAAAGTCCCGACATCTGTAACAAACTATCACCAATACTCTTTTTTCCCTACTACCATTAGGGACTGGAACAGTTTATCCCTGAACTTTGTCGAGGCTCAATCTATAAACTCTTTCCGAGCCCAATTGAAAATGATATGTTAATTGCAATTTAAATTTTTATTAACTTTATTAATTGCTATTTAATTTTGTTCCTTGATTCTTATTCTTGGTGTTATCATAGTAGTATTATTATTATAGTATTTATCCTTAGTATTATGCTTAGTGTTTTAAGGCTGCTGACCTCTTGCTAAGAATCATCGCATAAATGGAGAGGAAGTATCAGGAAAATAAATAAATAATTAAACTTCAAACGTTTGGCGGATTTGTCCCTCCGATGCGTCGTCACTGGATTTGTTTTTCCTGGATTTAAACTATTTCCTGTTAAAATATTCCAATTCTCACGCCTTTAAGTTTTGATTTGACCAGCTTATGAAATTGTTTTAGGTTCCTCTCCTGTTGACTTGTAGGCTGCGAACACTTTGCGGAAAACACCTCGGTACAACAAAAGAATAATGCTAATCGCATCTTGTTTTTCTACCGCGCGCGTGACAAGACGGATAACATTTTCCTTTATTTCATTAAAAATTCTGTGTTTGAGCCAAGTGGCCCATCTGGCCCGCGCTGAACTCCGTTTTCCGTAGAATGAAGCGACTAGGGGTATTTCTAACCCTCCCTGGATGGAATGGTAGTCCATGGAAGGGTTAGACCGCAACATTAAATTCTCCGGTACGTGGGTGAAGAGAGGCACTGTGGGAGTAAAGAGTCTTGCCCAAGTTGCTGAGCCCAAAAACATGTCATCTTTCTTTTTGCTAGTTACCCACACGACGCTTTCAACATCTCTGATGCGAGCATTATACAGGGTGCGTGTGACATATAAACCCAGTCATGGCCTAGCAACTCATCGTGTGTTCTAGTTCCCCGGTTTTGAATGTTCTGGAAAAGACTGTTGTCGGTAGCAGTGACTGACGTTTCCACAGCCTGAGCAGAAGTCATTATCAGGGTCAAGTGAAAAGTAGTTTGTTAGTAAAGCATAGCTCTGGTTTGGTCAGTCACTGTTAGCTATCACCATCAATAGGGACCTTATGCAATCTGGACGGCAACGCCAAGGAAGACTTCGATTAAAAAATGAATTTCTACTCTTAGTTAGAATTTCAGAAATGGTTGCAGGAGCTAACTGTCTTATACGGCACCACAGCTCAACTTCAGCACGACGTATAAAAGTAGCGTTGAGTTCCAAATGGAAATGAAAATAATTTGCCGTCGCGGTTTCGGTTCGCAGACGACGCAAATTTTGGCGATTTCCCGTTGTTGTTTTGCATAGGACTGCTAAGAAATGTACAAAGTTTCAAAACGCACGTGCTGAGCTATTGTTCTGCCTATTAGATCTCTTGTTTTTCCAAGTCGTCGTTGCCGTCGACGTCTTGGTTGCGTAAGGTCCCTAATGACTGAAATTTCGACAACCTGGGCAGAAGTTATTATTAGGATTAGGTGAGAAGTCGTTTGGTAGTGGAGCAGAACTCTGGCTCGGTCAGTCACTGCTAGCTACCAACAACAATCCTTTTTGAGGGCTACTCGCAACCAAACGATCAGACTACGCGATCAACGTTTGGAATACTTACTTTTATCGTCAATTTATCAAATACACTAAAAGAAAAAATAAATATAAGAAAATCCTTCAGGAGTGGAATCAAATATAAACTGAATGACTGGATCACCATTTGTGACGCTTACACAGTGGCCTTTTCGATATCTGCTTTATTTTTCTGTCGTAATTCATTAGTGTTTCCACTTTCCAGATGTATGATAATCCTTTTTAAAAACTGAATCTAGAAAGGGAAAATCCAATATTGTTTTTTTTGGTGTTTTTTTTCTTCTCTGTGCTAAAATACCCGCTCTTCCGAGGCACTCAGCCAGAGGGTCAAGTGACACTCCTGACCGAGTTTTAGAACCCATTTGCTAATCACAAAATTTTCACCATTAGAAGCTCTTTTTGTCTCCGTTGTCACATTTCTTCGAGAGAAAGTCAGTTCCATTTGTAAAGTAATTTAAGGACGTACTTTTTAGGTTGAAAATTCATACCTTTTGTATCTACCCACACTTCTATAATTAAAAATATAGGCGGGACTTCCCCACGTAGCGTTCTGCGGAGGGCTGCTTTTTAGTTCAAATCTGTCAAGTTTTCTGCCTTGAATCATTGGAAATGAAAATATTTTCTTTACACAGGCACCTTTGAAGAAGTTTAAGAACGAAGCAAAAAACTCAGGCTTCTTGTGAAGCACCTCAAGTGGGACTTCATCAGTATTCTCAAAGAAAGCCATATTAAAAACACCAAGGAACAGGAGATTTTGACACCATACAACCACCATGTGCATTTCAACAAATTCACCTCTATAACCACCAATTTAGACCTTGAAGCGAAACATACAATTTAATTTGGTTCTGTCGTCCATTCAGAGAAAAATTAAAAGTTAACCTTGAGTCGCAAGGCACAAAAACATGCCACATATATTAGATGTATTGTTATTCCTCTTTTGTTTCTATCATACAATAAACGGAGCGGGTATCTTTTTTTTTTTTTTTTCAGAATTCAAGCTGTTTTTTTTGTGAAAAGGTCATTTCTCTCATCCAATTGTAATTCAAATCCGTTTTACGTGACAAAATTGGCCAAAGTTGACCAATACGTATTTCACACATGGCGTAATTATAATTTAGATATTCAGTATGTTTTAAAAAAAAGTGAAAGCAACTACTGAAATGTCCTTCAGTTTTCTTGTTTTAATAAAATTTCGAGCTACGTACGTGATGAAAAAATAATTGTTAAATGTTTACGCAAATTAAAAAGATAAATTTCTTGGTCCTACATCACTCAACATTGTTCAAAATCTTCGACAAGCTGCCAATTCGTTTTCGAAGCAGATGTTCATGACAGTCAAAATTTAGCTTTTATAACTCTTTTTCAAAATCATTCCTCTAATCCCACCGCGGCTAGGAGACAATGTTTATGTGAAGTCAGAATTTTTGTTCAGAAGAGCTTCGTAACGTTTCCCTTAGTGACACTAAGGAAGCCATTCTTGAGTAAACTTCCCTTCGACCTATGGAAGAAATTCCCTGGCAGCTAACACAGCCACACACATACAGTCACGTACTTTCGGTGTGACTAGGTTGTCTCACAAGACAAAACGAAAGATCAATTGATGTCTAAGGCTTTTCATTTAATTCATTTTCTTGGTAATTTTCCTTTTATTAAGGTTGATGTGTTGGCAACAACCTGCTTGTCTTTTAAAGTATCGTTTGCCCTGAGGAATGAAATGAACTGATTCAAACGCAACCTGGGAGCTAAGGAAAAACAAAGCTTCAGTTCCCCCATCGAAAACCGAGGAAATGAGATGCGAAAATGTTTAGGGCAGGAAGCCTCAAAGATGATAGCTGGATATAGAAATGCTTGTCCTAAATGGCTTTGCCCACTTTGTGTCTACAGCCCTTCGGCACAAAAGGAAGGCGGGAGCCAAATTATTACTTTGATTAGAAATTTAGTGATTTCGAGCAGCGCCATCGTTCTGTCAAATAAAGCAGTTGGTCGAGGTATGATTATGGCGAACTCTTCCTACTAATGGATATTAAATAACTAAGTATGGAATTAAAATCAATGTAAACACATGCTATTCGGACAGAAGTTAAAAGCATTTTACCGTCATTTAAACTTCTTCTTGACTATTCGGCTTTATAGCAATCTGGAAGGCTTTCGTTTTCTCGAATATGCAAAACAGGGAACACTTATAACTAAAAACGAAAAGAAGAAGAAAAAACCAAAACGGCGCTATCGTTTCTGAGTCTAAAAGCAAACACTTTAGGACGCGTGTTCGTAAAAAAGTTCTGCCGATCATAGAATTCTTGCATTCAAGCAAGCGGTATTTGTAATACATTAGATATATTTTCTTTTAATTTTAGACTCACGAATACAATGATAAAACAGCGAAATAGAAATTTCTTCTTCAAAATATCGTGCTACTTTTAAACGAAATGTGTCGGGCCGTCATCCTTATCAAAATCTTATTTGTCCGCGACCAAAGCGTATTTATCAAGCGGTCGTGTTTAAAACAATTTTAGGGCGGTGAAAAAACAAATGTTTTGATTTTGAAAAAATGGTAATTTATGATAATTTCCCTCTCCTTATTAGCTATTGAGGCAATTTTAACCAAGAAACAGTTGTTTTGACAGATAAATGAGAGCGGTTTATGGCTTCATTCGTATTTAAAAGCTATTGACAGGAAATTGACCAATGGCGTGCCGATAAATTTTTGTATCTCGTAGTAAGAAGGAGAAGTGTGCAATAGCCACATCGCTTTTTCGTCATCCTCCCACTGTAGGGGAGAAAAATTATCGCGCCGAGTTAAAAGACACTCTGATTTAAAGTCAACAGCTGTTTACTTTGTACTAAGCCATTTATATTTCAGCGACGATCACTCAAGGAACAAATTCAACTGTTGCTCGCTTTTTCAAGTATCTGACTCGACGTCTTAGCTTTCTACTTTACGAAAGCCGTGATTTCTGGCCCGGGTCTTCGACAAGCAAATGAGCATACTGCCTAATGTTTGTTTGATCACTAAACACAAATAATTCAAGAGTTTAATTCTTGGGTACCGTTGCCTTTTCAACTGAAGGAGATGAACAGTTTAGGGGAGGAAAGTGTGGCGACGCCAACCTCTTTGTTGAATTTCGTCAGCAATGCAACCAGTGCGCTGAAATTTGCTTTGGATAAGCCGATAAAGCCGAAGAGGAAGGTTAACCACCGAAAGTATCTTCAACGCCAGCTGAGCGGAAGGTCATCTTCGGCAGCAACGTCATCATTCGACGGTTCTTGGATAAGTCAAGGAGAAATACTATTTGATCATGTCTTAAAAAGTGGTCAGCGAGGAAGCGCTAGCGCGGTCGCACGAGCTGAGAAATCCTCAACAGCAATTCCCTGGAAAAACCGTTCAGAGGAAACTCAAGCGTTAGGAACTGACAATGTTCTAGACGTTTTTCAGAAAAAGCGTGCTCAAGGAAAAGAAAAGAACTGGAAAATTACAAGAAGCCAGCAAATAAACGATACTAAGACTTCTCAAGCACTTTTCTCTCAGCCTTCACAGCCGCTAAAGAAGCGAAAACTTCCCGAGTCCTTCTGGACCGAGCCGTCACCCAAAGCTTCGCGTAAACCTCTGCAAGCAACTCGGAACTCTAAAACAAATTTGGCGACAAATGAATTGCAACGTTCAGAGCTTGAAATCTTGGACTGGCTTCGTCCTGAACTAGACGACTTTATCGAACGGTGGTCAGAGGAAAGCGAATGCGCGTCGAATAACTCGAGTCGACCGGACAGCTTATCGGATAGTCCATCCACCATCGATCCTCATTCGCCATATTCCGACGAATCAGAAAATGTCGGATTAATGGACGAATTTTTTGAGCAACGAGTGCCGTTTTCGTTTGATTCTTCAACGAAAAATGGCGAGTGTACAAGCAACATCCCGTCGACAAGAAACTATGCGAACGCTAACATCAATTTTGTGAATAACCGAACTTACAATGTACCGCAAGATTATGTTCAAAGGCCACTGAACCATTCCGTTTCCTGTTATGGTGGACAGTACGGTTTTTCTGCGAATGAATGGAGCGCAAATCCAGTTCAACCGAACTATTTCGAAACTGGATACAATGTTTTATCGTGAAGGAAATTGCAGTAAAACTAGAGAACCAATCTAAGTCGCACGAAGCAACCGAGGGAAGCAATTTAATTTCAATAAAACGTAGAGAATTTCTCCGGTCCGGCGGCACTTAACATATATTTTACTAATTTGTAAATTATTTCGAAACACAACAGGCAATATCAAAGTTGCCAAAAAGTTTGAAACGTAGCCTTTTGGTTGTCAAATTCTGACTGTTTGCTTCACAGAAAGCTTGTCAACTGTCAAATCATTGACGCCTTAAAACTTCTGTATTTACGAATTACATTTAAAACAGTCTAACCTAGATTTTTTTTAAAATGTGAAACCTTTCACATTTTTTTAAGAAGAGCTATCAAATGCTCCACTGACTTAAAGAGATACTTTACTGTAAATTTACAGCGGTGGCAGGGCTAGCTCAGACACTCGCCTTAAACGAACATTTTGAAAGTTATACACATTATCACTTGTTATATTTCAGTGCTTCTCCCAAAGGTACTTATAAAACTGTTTTACTTTCAACATAGAAAAATAAACTTAATATTATCCTAAACAACGAGGTGCATTTTTATTTCTTAACAAAAATATTCCTTTTGCGCAACCAGGGTTGCATGAATTAACAAAGGTAGGCATTGTGCGTGCTCTGTTTAATATCTTGGTATCCAAATAAAACAGTGAATTCGCGCAAATTTCGAAGACGCAGTTTCGATGTCACATATGAACAGCTGTCAGAGTATACAGACTTGACTTATCACATGGCTAGCTCAAATTTAGTGGCTCTTTGTCTGATTCTCTGCTTCGACTGTAATCATTTTCCGCAGAGTATATATATCATTTCATCATTTCCTTATTACGAGGCAACGTATCAAGAGAATTGCTTTAGGCACGCAATTTCGCGAAAAACAGAAATTTTCATTATTTTATGGAAAATACTGAGGCATTTTGATTTGTTTCTAATATTAAGCGGAATGATGATTTCGTAACCTTGCAGTTGAAAAGGAAATAAAGGGATACCATTTAGACAAAAGAAAACGAAAACAATTCGTGGTAACTAACACGCGGTTTGGATAAAAGTCTGTCTCATTAATTTTCATTAGATGGTTCTATCAATGAACTGGCTTTTCTTTTTTTCAAAAATAAATTGTTTCGCTGCTGATGAATGTGCTTTTTTTTAAACAGGAGGAAAAGCTTTTTTGCCGCATGCTGTTGTCGCATAACTTAAAATGGTTTTAAAAAAAAAAGTAGCGACGTAGCATATTTCATGTTTTTCCTTGATTGTGTAAATGCCTCACAAACAAAAATCAGCTTTTACCATCCTGTAAAATTAAGACAAAAAATTTCAAAAGATGTTATCTTTAATGATTTGTGATTCTCATTTCTGATTCTCTGAGTCGATAACATGAAATAAATTGGAAAAAGTTATTAAAATACCCCTAAAAACACTGGTAGTTATTCTGAAATAAACTTAATTGTCAAAATGTCTTATTATTTTGGAGAATGGGAAATTGTTTAACTAAATACTGCAACCAGTGTCTTCTAGTTTTTTCAACTAACAAATATCCTACAGACATACTTTTTAGTCAGAGCACAAGCCAGCCTTAGGCAACTGGATCGAAAGATTTTTTTTACATAACATGATATAAAAACGAATGCCGTCAACATGTCGCGTATCTAGAAAGAATTTTTCGACTGACAATTTTATAAAAGGTTTAAGAGTAGTAACAATGAGGTTAAAACCTAAGTTCTCATTAGCATTTTCATGAAACCTTTAAGGGGAGCCTTTTGCTGTCAATTTTAAGCTGAGTAAATTGGATGTTTTCTGTCCACACTTTGGCTCATGGGAATAAAATTCAGCAGGTGTGCGGACTTGTATGCCGTCGATGACATACAATAAAAGTCAGTGATTGCGGGCATAAGTTTTCACCAACTCTTCCCACAAAAAAAAAAACACGTCGATATCTTAAATACTTGTTTGATACTAGTGCCTTCTCGCTGTTAATCTCAGCTCGTTTTTTTTTTCTCATTAGTCGATCTACTAGCCCGCAACCAAATGTTACCGAGACGGAGTTTTTTTTTCTAGCTTTTTCAGAAACGCAAATCCGCCGCATTTTCACTTATACTTCAAATTTACATTTGTTGATTTTACACACAAGTGTAAACTAAGCGTAGGCAAGGACTCAAGAAATTCAGTTCACAAGTAAACATATTTTCCATATTGATACAAGATGATGTGCAGTTCCTTTTTCTAAAAGTTCATCACAGATCGCCCACAATTAAACGCACTACGTATTTTGGCGGAGAAGCAATCCACTGGTGACGTTTTCATTCTCAGAGAAGAAAATGGATGAAAATTTCAAACATGAGCGAAATGAAGGTGGTATGAGTTTTGGTTATTTTTAGCCATAAAATATGAACAAGCAACGAAGTGTAAATTATGTTTGGCAGCTGCAATTTTGTGTGTACAGCTCTTTCCCTAATTGCTTTTCCAAAGCTCTATCTCGCAGAGAGAAGCTTAGAAATTCTAAGCCAACTTCTTGGAAATCCATCTCAATTCACATCATGCAGTCAGACATAGCGCATTGATCGAGGGCTTCTTCTATTTCTGAGTTTATCTTTTCATAAAGCAATACTTCAAAGGAGTGTGTTAATCAAGAGTAATTATTCATGACTATGTTAACAAAGAACGCGGAATTTTATGGGAAAGTATAAAACTTCCAAGTTCCTTTTTTAACTTTTCCCTTTGGTTCCGCATGAAAGTATGTGTAATGCTTGGTAACTCTCGAACGCAAGTTGCAACATACCGCGGTTATCATAATGTTTATATTTTACGATATTTAGCCCTCGCAGATAAGTGTCAATCTCTAACGGATTATTTAGCAACGAACGGCTTTTGTTTGGCTCCATAATAAGTTTGCAATGACTGGGTGCCACATATTTAACATTTCACTCAATGTTGTTAACATTTTGTGAAGATTAAACCGAACATGACCACTGAATTTACTAAGACTTAATAAAAATCTCAGTATGTTACAAAAATAGAACATCACGCGCTGCTAGAAGAATTGTGCGCAATTTTTGATGCAATATTTCGCAACGGAGGCTGGTGAATCTTCGACAACCGTTCATTCGAATGAAATCCTTGTTAGGCAGGGCGAAAAAATTGCGCGCGAAGGCATAGAACAAAATGGCATTTGATATCTTTTTTTAAATTATCAATAATGTAGCCTTTCAGAGGACAACAAAAGAACCTCGGTAATATTATGCTCAAAGGCAGGTGTTCTGTGATGAAAACCTCCACATGCTAGGGTATTCACGTGCAGCATAAATAGAAATACACAGAAAAAGCTACGTGCATCAAAGGGGCACTTTGTTTTGTAACCGCCACGAGCTGATTGAAGGAGTGAACGTGGTTTTAGCATGTTTTAAATCTTCCCTTGCTTTTGCATCAAAGCTAAATTTTAATAATTTTTGATTGAAATAGAGAGGGTGATCTTGAAAGTTCAGTTTTAAGAGCCTTTGCTTTGGTTTTCACGAAGGGCGCTGCAAACATAGTTGACCATTTCTTCTTTCGTTTCAGGAAAGGCCACTGAAAAATCTGTCTATTGGAACACAACATTTTTACTGGTGTAGTCTAGGGAATAAAAATTAGCTTGCAGACCATTTAATTGAAACCACCCTTTCCACGGATTTTTTCAAAGCTTCAACACATAAAAAGACAAATCAAGATGATCTTTACAAGGAAAAGCTTTTTTGTAACCTATTTAAACACAAATAAATTAACCAACGTGAAACGTAACTGTCCATCGAACACTATTGACAGTAAACTTCTCCACATGCAACCAGGCACGAAGGACGCGTACAGCTCGACATGGCGTCGGTTTTTTCTTTCATTTCAATGTGAAATTTTTGCTGAGCAACAAAAAATCTTGCAAAGTGGGCATTTTCCCCTATGATTCTGTTACTCTACATGTTGAACTTCCAAACAAACCGGCAGCTGCAAGTAATTAGTAGCATTGATTCATGTAACTGGTTGCCCACAAACAAAGCGAAAGCTAATTCCAAAAAAACACTTTTTGTTGGAAGAACATTGAACAAATTTCTCTTGACAATGGACAGGGTCTACCCTCTTCTCCATCAAGAGAGTAGAGGACATTTTGTTCTCTAAACGACGTACAATAGGTTTTTAGAAATGGTATTAAAAGTGTGATACAAATGTTCCTTTGAGAATGGAAATTATTTTCATTTGATGACTGCGAGCAAAAATCATTAATCCATCGGTGGATATCAAACTTTGGAGCTATAATGAGGATCTCTTAAAACTATATTTGAAAGCAAAGGGACCAATTTGTTAAAATTTAGATTCTAGAAATCTGCATTTTACGATGTAAACGCGTTCGTCATTCAAGTGACTAAATTCATCCGTCATTTCTGCGAGCGTCTTCAATTCAGATATTTAATTGGCAGTTCCATTTAAAGCTGGAAGAGTTAAAGAAAAACAAAACAAAACAGAAAGCAATAAAAAAGATTGAAAACCAAACGAATAATAGCAACAAATCTAAATCCCATGGCAAGCCTAAATTTGAAAGGGAGTTTAACTGCAAGAAAGAAGCACGACGGGTGAAGTGAGAAAAGTGAATCATGTATAGTACTAACTCATAATGTCAAAATGTTGATGTAAACATCTCACAGAATTAAATTTTGTGAGCTACTGATGTCTTTGTAAGCGGTAATTTTCTTCGTATATGTTACCTAGCAACTTGGCTAAGTTGTCACATGACGGCGCTCGCCAACAGAAAAAAAGTTGTACAATTAAAAACTGAATACCATATCATGAGAATAAAACTTTAGGTAGGGCTTGCAATGTTCCTCTTTTGGGAGAAAAAAGGAATATTACTTTAAAAAAAAAAAAACTGAACCTCGCAGTTTTTCAACCTTTCTCAATGTTTTTTATTTGACATAATCCACTGATTTATAATCCTTGGTGAATAAGTTAATTCCTCTGAATCGTTCCTAAGGTTGTCCCTTTGTGAGTCGACGCTGAGAAAAACAAACACTTCCCGATAATATTGTTCGTTAGAAAAATGAACGCTGAAACACGCTGACGCTTTTCACATTGAGCACATTTGACACGTGTTCTTCATTCATAGTGCTTCTCAAAGACACAAGAACTCCAGCATCGGAGCGATTTTTAACTGATTGTCGAAAATGATGTAGGATTACACCGGCTTTGTCATACCACACTCTGTGATTGGTCTAAAAATATCACGCCACCCTTCCGACCAATCAGATGCAAGACTTCATATTCCCGCGTCACCCGCGGTCACCCTCGTTTCCCGCGCTCTTGGAACTTTACCTTTTCACTCTGAGTTATCATTTGTTTCTTGTGGTTTTTTTTTCTTTGTTCTAAATGGGAGTGGTTATCAATTCGTTCTGGCTTTTTCACGCTCAATCGAAATACACCCACTACATCGTGTTTTTTTTGTTGTCTTTCTTGTGAGCAACCTTTAAACAAAACATAGTGAAAGGAAATTTGCTCTGAATGTAGAAAACAATCAATATGATTTCAAGTCACAAAAAATGTTATGACTTCAGTGTAAGGAAAGATGAATAAAAAAAGTATAAAACATATGTAATGAGGTACAGAAAGTTGGAGCACTAAGACCGAGTACGAGTAGACTAAGAAGCCATGCCTTATGTTGTTATATCCCAATAGTCATTGCAGCCCAAGAGGAATCAGGTATCACGTGATCTAAACTGGTCAACCCACTGTTTGTTTGGGACTGGGCACCAAGTTGGACTTGTTGCTCTTTGTTTTCCTGTAATGGAAAAAATTGAAAGATTTCTTTTTTTGTTACCTAAAGAGAAAATATTACCTAAACAAAGAAAGAAAGGGGTAAGGGAGGTGTGTCATATACAACCCAAGCCACCCATTACCAGCCACCTGTAGTTTGGCTATCCTTGAAGGGGCCTACTGAACGACCTTGTAATTAACCCACTGAACACCAGATTGAAGGACTTAGATTAAGCTTTGAGCTAACTACTGTTTTGTGTTCTTGGGTAAGATACCAAACGTTCACAGGGCCTCTCTTTAGTTTGATGTACAAATTAGTACCAAACATTACCAGGGAAACAAAGCAAAATGCTGAGAGGTAACTTTGAAATGGACTTGGATCCTATCTGCTTGCAGCACTCCTGGTCACCGAGCTGGCTTTACCTATTTATTCTCCTGAGATGAGTGGTAGTCCATGGGTGCCCCAAAGCATTCTGTAACATTGTTCATGTAGAATGCTATTACCCACTTTAAGTGTTAGAATGAAGGGAAGCAGTGTTATGAAAAAGTGTCTTGCCCATGAGAGTAACAAAATCTGAGGCTCAAAAAAGATTCCTATATTTAGAATCCAATACCTTGTTGTTCAAAACATTAAAATACCTTTTTTCAACAGCAACTGAGTCTAGTGGATCAGCAATGAAGCCTTTCCAACAACTAACCTCTGTGTGCTAATCACAAGGCTAAAATACCAATAAATCAATAATCTAATGCTAATCATAAGGCTAAAATACCAATAAATCAATGAAAAGGTGACACAAAAATAGATACAATTCATTTACCTGAAGCATCTGAAGCAGAAAGTCATCCTGTACTGAAGGAGCCTGCAGCCTTCCCTGTGCCATCCGGTTTGACCAGTTTTGTGATGCATCAAGCTGCTTAGTCAAAGTGTAAACAGAAAAAAAAAGGTAAAGGATAAAGTCTGCACTTGCACCAAGTCATCCATTTAGCCAGAGCTTTATATCCTGGTTTTCTTAGCATGAAACAACTATAAGTGTTACTACAGCCCTCTTGATGGAAATCCAGTTCATTAGAACATTACCCCCCAGAATTTCACTGAGATTCCCTGACAATTTACTGGTATCCAGTTACACTCCCAAGTGGAAAGAGACACTGTGAAAGTAAAGTGTTTTGCCCAAGAACACAACAAAATGACCCAGCCAGCTCTTGAACCCAGACCTCTTGATGTGGAGTCTGGAGCACTAGCCATTAGGTCACCTTGTTTCCCAAGTAAAACAAAGCAAAACAGACCTAACTTTTAATTGTTCTCTTGAGTAACATAAAAGCTGAGGTTATTACATTCTCACACCATCACTAGCTGTTTGTTTGCTTGTTTATTAACTTCAAGGCATACTATGACAAGTTCAAAATTCAGTTAGGTGTGTTAAATTACTAAAACAAATACATAACATGAAAAAACTATAACACGAATGATGTGATCAAATTGTTCACTGAATATCCAGAAAAAGAAACTGCAACCCTTGACAGTGGTAGGTAAATCTAAATTATCAACAGAACTTTCTGAAATTGTGTTCCATTCTTTCTTTTCTCTTTAAAAGGGGAATGAGCAACAATTCTGTAATGTTCAAGGTCAGCGGTCGAGTTATCATAAGGCATGTGCATTAGGAGTAAAAAAAAAGAACATGGCAAATGTTAGTTGTTATGCTAGTGATCGACCATTAAACAGTTCCAGTTTCTACCCATTTAGTCTCTCGTGTGGACATTATAAATTCTAAACTCTCAGAGTTGATTTGGATTGTTTTCAGCAATCAATTCCATCTTGTCATTCATCCCTAAGAGACTATTCCTGAATAAGTTTTTTTCAGTTCGGTAAACATCATCCACTCCTTTGATATTTACCTTTTAACTGCCAAGATCTGATTGCTAACTTCTCTTTGTGCGTTTGCTGGATAAGGTATGGATATTGTAAGGAGAAGTTACATGTTAACCACTTCCAGGAGTTAAAGTGTTGATAAAACACCTATCACCCCAAAACAGTTAAAAATAAAATGAGGCTGTCCGTTGAACCTTACCTGGCTTGATAGGTGAGTTTGTGTACATGTTCCTGTAGTTACAATCTGACTGTTATTTGGCAGTGACATTGTCTGGCTAAAGTTTGTGATTGGAAAACTCATTTGACGTTGGTGCGGCATCCCTGCACCGATAGAGGAGCTTCCTCCAGTTGATACAGATGTTGATGAGCATGGCGTCATCATATTTTGATAAGACGGCCTTGTTTGCCCTGCTTGGGAGGTGATATTTGTGCTACTGAGAATGGTACTGTGGACTGTTGGGTAAGGCAGTAAATTCTGCAGTAGTCTGGTTTGAGTACTCTGCGCAGCTTTGGAGCTAAGTAACATTAAATTGTTCATATCTGTGGCTGAGTGTTGGGAAATCCCACCAGGAGCTGGCCTAGGTTGATTGCTGGAAACTGCAACACCTTTTCCATGATTTCCAGGAGAAAGGTCTTTAACAGCTGCATCCACGCAAACTTTGGAGGAATTACTAACAGCGCTCAATGCTGGTTGGTAACTAAATACTTTTTCAATCTTAGGAATCTGCTGAGGTGACATGATGGTTGGTTGGATTGGAGTCAGCTGTGGTGAGCCTGTGGCACCATATGGGTTTTGTCCTGAGTAATTTCCATTCCTGTTTCCTAGGTAAGGTGGAACACTAATTCCTGCTGGCACTAAATCTGGCAAAGGGGGTGTTGAGACATTTTCCATGTTTCTGGGGAATGAAAGGTTATTTCCTAGACGTGCATCTTTAGAGGGTGATCCCTTATTAGAGTTCTTCTTGCTCTGGTTAGTTTTACCAGAGCTCTTAGTACTTTTTGATGCTTTGGAAGGACTTTTCTCTGGGACCAAGCCATCTTTCACCACACCACTTAATGACAAACCTAAGTATTAAAAAAATTAAGGTTCCTATTTATTAAAGGCAAAAAAATTGTGTTTTGTGTCTGGATCTTTCTTTACGCTGTGCTCAAAACTGCCACCGTTATGGTTGCCATGGAAACTAAAAAAAAGATTTTGGTGACAAAACTTGCAGCGTAAGAGGTCAGTTTGGTATGCTGTAACATTTGTATAATAGAGTATTATTGTCTGAAGTTAAAGAGAGTTATAATTTTTCAGAAAATATATTTTATACTCTGCTACTTTCTTTAACCCTCTACACTGTAACATCAGTATGCATATTCTCCATACTGTTCACTTTACATTTCCTCGGGTGCTGACAGGAGTATTTGTTTAACAATCAAAAGCTCCTATAGTTGGTGATCAGTTTGCCTATTCATGGAACCTTCAGTTTTGATTCAGGGGTGATAAAGAAAAATTACTGGTAGATGTTAGACACTCTTAGGCATCACAGAATCAATAGGAAATTGCCTCTTTTTCTTTTGCTGTCCTAGTAGTAAGCCTTGAAAAGTTGCATGAACGTCCCAAAAGCCATAACAATAACCAAGCAATGGGACCCTATCAAAATATGTTGTATAAAAAATGAATGCTTTACAGATTTTTACACTGTTGTAACACAGCCTTTTGAGCACATGAACACAGCTACACCTGGATTCTTTCTCATATAACAACCACAGGTTTTGATTCTCCAGATTTAGACCTCTAAATTCTAACCATTCGAAGTAGGTCTCATGTGATTGACTGTTTTATGTGGTCTAGTCACCCTTTGCGACAAGTTTCTACAAAATATTTTGGCACAGGCTGTAAGAGCACTTTGAGGGATGCCCTGAGAATTTCTCTGCAAATATTTAAACTTGCAGCAAAAAATTTCCCAAGTATCGGTAGTTTGAATTTGTATATATGATTTAAGTAAGAAAATAAATTGCAGTAACTTATTTGGAAACAAGACAATAGATTGGAAAAACCTCTCTCTGTTTCACCTTGAAATTTTGGGTAGCATTTCTTTGTTTCCTTCAAAAAAAAAAAAATGTTACACTAACTTAGATCTAAAGTTTCTTTAGGTAGCTCATGTTCCTTCTTCTCTTTCCTCTCTTGAATTTCCTTGATTTTTTCTTCTTTGACTCTCCTTTGGTGAGCTCTTAAAACCTGGATCACTTTTTCGGATTGTAACAATTCCTTGGAAAGTTGAATCAATTTCATAGTTAATACCACTGAATAATGATGAGATTAATGGCTCCCTAGGCAAAGATTATTGGGGTTTTGGATTTAAGCTTTGATTAATTAAGAAAATTTAATGCTTATACTCTTAGAAGTGATTAGAATACAACTTCTCTCTAAAATATCCATACATTATCCAACAAACAGGTAATGAGAATACTCAAACTTATCAAGTGAAAGTTATTATTTTGATCTAACTCCAAATTCTTGTAACTCACTTACAAGTAAAGAGATTTAACAATCAGAACTTGGGAGTTTAAGAGTTAAAGACAGCTCTCCAAATATAGAATAAGCTCATGATGGTTTGGTTTTCAGAAAAGAGGGGGGGATTTATTCGATTATGACTTACCAACTGCTTCTGCGCCAACACTTGTTGCAGCATACTGGCATATTTCTGTTCCATCAAACATTTTTCTTCTGCAAGTTGGTTTTCAAGAGACTCACTCTGTATTTCCTGAAAAAAAAGTTTACTTATCTTCACCTTTGGAAATGACGAGAAAAGTATGGAGAATATGCATACTTTGCCTTTCTCTAAAATTCATGCTTCATGAATCAATTGTAGGCTTAATAGTCGTAACATATAAATATCCTATATCACTGTGAAGAACACTGTACTTGTAAAGGGCAGGTCCCATACTAAGTCATCACCAATATTAGAATGCAGTTTTTTTTTCCTCTCTTTCTGTAAAATTCATCTAGGTCAACCTTCTCATGCCCATGGGTAACCAAAAACTAATTCGTCCTTACAATATCAACTCTTCTTTGGCCTAAAAGGTAGCAAGACGAAAGAAGAACAAAAAAAAAGGGATAATGTTGGACTTAACATCAATTTTCAAAGCCAACATTGTACCACAGAGTATGATATACAATGTGGAGAATTTATATTTAGATCTGTGCACTGAAAGCGTCATAAGAACACCTCTCTTGAGCAAGCACTAACACAGGTCTAACAAGTCTCTGCTTGTGAAGGTTTTGCTTTGGTTAAAAAATTCATAAAAAAAACTGGTTGAATTGCTGAAGAAAGACAACTTGTTTAGAAGTCGATCAAGTGGGTGTGCATTTTCTCGTGGGTGAGAAGGGTAAAAACTACTTTTCTTCAAATATTCAGATGCACAAAACAACCCTTGGTCAACAAAAATATTTTAAATATCAACTCAACACAAAAATAAATTTATATTTCAACTCTCTGATACAAAGATACAGGGATTTGGAAACTCAGAAGTACAGAGAGCAAATCAGATTTGATACATTTGAAAGTTGTGTTTCACTTTGAAGCATATGAAGCTAAAACTGACTTCTACTAAACTTTCTTTGACAACGGAGCAATCTTAGATATGATAATAAGTCGTTGCAATTTGATTCAATTAAAGGTATTATCTGTGTCAAAGAGAACATATGCCTCAACTGGCGACTATCTATGAAATGATCAATCGCTGTTGTATACTCAAAGTAACTCCACGGTATTCGAAATCTAAACGCGAAGAATATGTGAAGAGAATAACAGAAGTGCGATTTAAGCTAGAAGTTTGTAATTCCTATTCCAGATTAATTGCAAGGATATTTAATATTCCCTTTACATTCCTCAATATATGAACAGTTAGGTAATACCGTTTAGATTTATCAATGTTTAATGAACTCAGGCAAAGAAACCTGTAAAATACCACCTTTGAATGAAAAGGATAAGATGTCTATTTGTGTTTAAACAATACAGAATGAAAAATGGAAACGTGCTTTACAAAAACATGTGACTTGTGACCAGAAGTTATTTGCCAAAAATGCTATTTTATCTAAATCGAAATTCCCACATGTGAAGAAGAGTTCTCAGAGATAATGTTAACATCAGCAAAAGGGATTTAAAACTTACTTCAGATCCTTGGGTCTTGCGTTTTTTCTTCTTGTAATTTTGTTTGTACCTATTGTTGCGATGCTTTCGGCATAAGGTCGTTCGAGAACCAACTGTAAGTTCATGACATCCCTCGATTTGGCACGTTTTGGAGTTTTTCCGTGCTACCTCGAATGCTAAACTGTCCATCTTTCGAAGTGGTTCTAAAAATTTCGCGCTCTTGGTTGATTTTTTAACCTTTTCCGCGTACAAATTTTAACACGTGGTGTAAATGAATGAAAAAATCTCGTCCATGTTTGAGCACTGCAAAAATTGCAGAACTCACGAGCAACGGCGATCGGAAATGCGTTCAAGCTTCAGCAAGTCGGAGAAAAACGTTTCGGAACTGTGCATTTAAGTCTCTAATAAAAAAGAACGAGCGAACCCTAAAATCAAAGAGAAAAGACGGAAAATTTTGGAACTTCTAGCCAACAAAGGAACTGAAGTCGCATGCAAATGAATGAATGAAATTGCCTCGTTTCAAACAAAACACATTGATTAGTTGGAGCACTTTTTGTTGATTTTTCCAATGGAATTCCGCATCAAGGCGTTGTTTCCTCGATTCACGTCCAGATTACAGTAGACAACCAAAATAAAGAATCACGATGGCAGAAAACGGAAAAGTTCCCATTTTCTCCAAAACTGCGCGCGATCAACGATTCGATCGACCTTCGTTTCCCGCTAAAATGACAACAAAGATGGTCGGAAGTAAATTTACCTTACAAACGAGGCTAAGAGAAATCACTTCCGTTTTGAGAAGTTAAAGGAATCCCCCGTTTGATTATGAACGAAACTGAAATTTCCCAGAATAGTTTTTCATGCTTTTTCGTTTCATGCGCTTTTCCCCGTAAAAATAGCGACTTCCTGTACCAGAAATGTCAATTCTTGCAGTCATGTTTTACTTTCGAGCCGCGAGAATGATTCGAGAACAAGTAATCGACGACATGAACAGTTTCGGGTCGAACCGTTTCATAAACGTTCCAGATAAGCTCGATCACCCCCATCTACGCTCTACGAGCCGATTGATAAAATTTATAGAGCATTACTTTGAAAAACAGTGTTTCAATTCTCTTCTGGAAATTTTCAATTGTTATGCCGCCTTCGCAAACTAACATTTTGCTTTGATCTCTCAAAAGCGGAACTAATTGGCAAGCATTCCTGCTCTGTTGAACTTTCTTACGCCCTTTTATGCTCAGAAGAATTATGCTCCCAACTAGATACAGAGTGCTTTCGTGTTCAGTCGTAAGCTCTGTAAACCATGTCTCATAGAACTCTTTTTTTCTTTTAAAGTTAAGAAAAATGCTCTCTTTCCGGTCGCACACAACTTTATGCCCTATTATGGAGCAGCTCTTAGTTACACCTTGTTGATGCTAAGGCGGAACATTCTTAGAAATCACATGACGACAAATACCCGGAGAGTAGGCTCCGTTTTGTTATGGTTGACCGAAACGAAACCACGACGCACCCTTAATTACATCATCCACATTCTTTATCGCACATGTAAGGTACTCATGTGGTTTTCCGTTTTCACTTGCCCTATTTATCAGGTCGCAATCCAGTACTTTTGCTAAGGAGTTGAAGACCTTCTTAAATCCACCCTTCCCCCCTCAAGGAGTTAAAGACCTTCTTATGTCCACCCCACCCCACCCCCCTGACACTCCGCTTTAATACCAAGAAGAGTGAACAAACAAACTGCTGCCTGATGTAAAGGACAAGACGTTGACAAAAGAACTTAAAATTGACAAAAATAACACAGGTAACCAATCAAGCAAAGCGACCAATAAACAAACCTACAAGCAAACGAATTACTTCGATGTACTGACTAACCTACAAAGATAATCAACGGCAGAAATCCACATGTCTATGAGCATCTCATCCTAACGTTTGTGAAGTGTTGAAATCGATTTTAACCGTTTAAGGAAAACGATATAGTGACCGCAGGTAATACTCGTCCCAGGTGCACGAGAGCAATCGCGCTCGAACGCTTCTAAGGGCCTCGCGCGTGAGCTCCACGTTCTTCCCAGTAGAAAAGGGGTTATTCAGATTAAGGTCTTCACAGAAAAGCGATCTACCGTTCTTACTAGGGAACCTTTTGCTTTAGGAATCAAAAGAATCAGATAAGCTGTAAACTGCTAAATACCAAAGTGAAAGGTCTAGTTACAAACTTAATAATGCGCTTTTATATCCTGGTTGGGAACTTTTTTTGTTAAAAGTAAAATATTTTTTGGCAGGTGAGAAATAATTAGACCTCCGCAATAAAAAAGAAAACAAAAAGCAAACAGGAACACTAAACTTTGCCCTTTCAAGATCTGTCTCATTATTATTGGTTGGAATAAAAGTAGCCTTGATGGATCAGAAAATATCAAAAAAATAATGATCTGGATCGGTGTGTCTTGTCAGCGGCGTCGCTCAGTTTAAGGTATTTTAGAATGAAAGGAGACTATGATCGTATCGTGTGTAAACAGATGGAAATTGTACATTTAAAATTCTCTCTCATTTTCTTAGAGATGAAAAAATTTTTCTGGCTGGTGAAAAGCAAGTTGTGTTAAGATCCACGAAAAAAGTGCTCGATTCGGCCGAAAGAATGTGATCGGCGGCCTGATCAAGTATCATCCATGATAACACATTGCTCGTCAATGAATGAACGTTTTAATTCGACAAACAGGAAGCCGAAGAGAAGTATTTGACAGGAGAAGTGAGGTGTGGGCACATAAAACAGGTCGCACAAATATTTCAGACGTTAGAATTGTTGTTCGAGAAGGATTTATCGATTAGTTTCCAACCAATTTACTGAAACGGCGCCTGGCGACATGTGGGAGTGGATTCTCTTGTTGAATTTGACGAAAGCGTGGTTTTATCGATAACAGGTGTAGACAAAGCGGTTCAATTGTTTTAATCAATGTGTAATGAATTTGTTTGAACGAAAAAAGTAAAAAAGGAAAAGAAGATCAAAGTATATTCTCATGAAATGACGAACCCTACTATGATCTGGCTGCCTCTCAAATCACCGGAAGTTTATTGTCATGCATAACAAGCAGTGCGTCAAATTGAACATCCGCTTCCGGTTGGCTTTTTATAGGTTTTACAAAGAATCAATTTATAGTGGGCTCGTGCGTCACCTGACAGGACTTCCCCTAAGTTAAGAATAAAGTTAAGCGAACTTTAAAGTGTCTCATTGCAGTTGATCGAAGAGTACTAGACAGCTGGTCGAAGGCGGAAAAATTCAAATCGCATTTTTTTAAAGGGTGCGCGGCAAAATTGTGTGTTTACAAAAATTACGAACCTGAAAGCAGTCGAAATGGAAATGGACGGTTCTGCTACGGGTCTATTTCTGAGTTACAAAGATTTAGAAATTCTTCTAATTGTATCACTGACTATTAACTTCTGTGTTTTGTGGAGTGTAATTTTACCAAAGCTGTGCCATGCCGTGTTACGAGTTTCAAGCCGTTCGCTGAGAGGACAAGAAATGGAGGAAAATGCCAGCGAGATTCCAGTTTGCTGCAGGAGATTGTAAGTATTTCCTCGTTACAGTCATACATCATGTTTCATAGAAAACTCTTTCCGATGCTTTCTTATGGCCTACCAGTTTACTAACGTAGGTTGAACACACGTTGATCATTCTGACTTCCGGTGATCAAACATTTTGACTTAGATCAAGATGCCTTACAATCGAATATTTTATTCGGTGGTGAGAATCATCGAAAATTGTATTCTTCATTGTTAAGTATTCCATTCAGTAGATAGACACTGAGGTTCGAAGACAAACGCTGAGGTACAGACAATGATGAAAGTTAGTTTAAATGATCTAAATTTTTGCTTCAGAAGTTGGTAAACAGGTTTAAAGAACTGTTCTTTCATAGCTTTCCCTAATTCTCTGCATTCATTGAACAGTGATATCTGTTTAAAAGAAATTTTAACCTAAGCTTTAGGTTCAATTGTATCGATACCTTGTAAGATAAACTTTGAGAATTTCTCTGCGAACGTCTCAGTTGATCATAATAATGATTTACTTAACAGAAACCAGAAGTTAGTTTGCAGAGTATATTTATTATCTCTTTGCATTTTTAAGGATCCATCCAACAAATTTAAAGCTTCCACTAAAATTAAGCCTTACCGAAAAATAATCGAGAAAGGTCTTTGCAGCACAGAAATTTTACGCATTAAGCTGATTGTGATCGACTTCCGCTGGTTAAAAAGAAAATACTTTCAGGGAAAACACCATCAGATACGAAAATACTTATCAAAAAAAGGGCAATATTTTTATTTTGTTTTCGTCATGATGCATGTTTCGAAAGGTTGAAACGATCACCCTTAGCTGATATATGCTCCCCCTGAAAGCCCTGTTTCAGTTTCAGAAACGACTAAGGGCCAGATTTATTTCTAAGGAAAATTCCCTTATTTGGTTCAGCAATTCCGCAACAGAGGCGTCACGGTTCGCTTGACTGTGTCATTTAAAGGATTTGCGTCTTTCAAAAGTTGCCGGTAATATGCTCGATTAAAAGCTGGAAACACGAAAAATTTCGCATTGTCCACAACTATGTATGATGTTAGCACCGCGAGTGGTAAAAACGTTCCTGTTTTCTGTTCAGGCGGCAGCTGGTTCAATATCAAATTTTAAAATAACTTTGCTGCGTTCATCAAGGAAGGGATAACGAGTCGGATATAAAAACGGGAACAGGAACATTTTATAGACGTTCAGTAAGTTTCCTTTTTGTCTGAGAGTTCCTTGCATCAGCATTTATTTTTCATCATTACTCAGTTGACGATTTAATCTTAATGTCGTTTAGGAGAAATTTGTGTTCCGGTTAGCTAAGCCGTCTTCCGTCGCTGAAACATTCTGTTTCCTCTTACACGACGTAAACGTTGTAACACCACCTAATTTTTCTTCGATTGGCGACCTCAAAAGACCAAACTTCGTTTAAAAAAAATTCTTTTCCTTTTTTAAAAAAATTAAATAACTCTGCCTGATATCAGTGTCGGAAGATTATAATAGACCGGGAGCTAAAAATTAACAGAAACGCTCTCAATGGAGTGTTGTTCAAGAAAGATATTTGCATTGTTGGTGCACCGGTTAATTTTAGCACCAGGAGAACCAATTTTCCATATTGATTAAGAAATACCTCATATATGATTAACGAACGCATCAGTATTATTCAAGGAGCGCCGCGAAGAAAAATTAAAATCGTCGTTTCTTTATTAAGTTTACTTGACAAGGTTGATGAATACATTCAAAACTTCAGCTGAAACTTCCTAACTCTCTCTCTCGTCTTCTTCCTCGATTGTATATTCTGATGGCCCCGTCTAGTTTCTTAACTCGGTTTCCCAGGAGATGCAATATCCTTCATCAGGATGAAATCGGTCGGGCCCACGCTGAAGACGTAAATGTTCCATTAGAAATGTTATTTTTGAATTTCAATTCGAATTCCTGATGCTCACCATCTTGTGACTCCCACTCTTAATTCAAACTTTCGTCAAACGATATGAACGTCTCTCAAACAGTTTAGATCGTAACAACGAAAACGACTTTCTTGCTATTAATACTGAATCTTAGGGCATGTTTTGTCGAATTTTTTCCAATGAAAGTATACAAAAGTTTAGAAAATTTGACTTTTTAGCACTCACAAGCGTTATCCCGGCTTGTAGTTATCAACAGTCCAATTAACGAGGCCTGCCTTCTTTTGCCAGTTACGATTTAAAACCGATGAATTTTAATTGTCTCTTGTGACCAGACAAAAGGGAAAATTTGCTTCAGAGAAACATATTTCAGCCAATATAAAAAAATTTCTCTCGATAACGCTTCTTTTATTTGATGGACTCGGGATTTTTTTTCCAAATGTTGTCTTGGGTTAATTTCAGAAGTTATTTCTATCTACGCTGAGAAAATACTTATATTTTTCGCGTAGACTTCCTGTCGAGTAGCAATGCGTTTTTTTAGACTTTCATCGAACACAGGAAAAAAAATGTGATTTTCATGTTAAGAAACACAAGTTCTAGAGAAAACTTTAATAGGTTTCTCAGTAAAACAGATAGATTGATGAAAAACTGAAGTTATTTCAATATACACCTCTGCATCTTGTCAGTATTTTAGATATCAAACCTTTATTTTGGAAAAAAAAGAAGCTTCTAATTAATGAAAAGTCTTCCTAAGCGACAATGATAAATAACATTTTGCCTTCTTGCGAGTCAGCTGTTTTTGATCAATGGCAAAAACGACCACTAGGCGTAAGCTATTTTTGTATCA